CCCCAAAACCCCAAAACCCCAAAACCCCTTAATTGAATTATTGTTTGTCTATAATGAAATTAATTATAATTGAATTTAAATATAAAAGATATATTTATTCTATATCTGAAAAAGTCTAAGCTATAGCTTGAATGTCAAAGCAATCTGTCTCATTAGTAATAATATTTCTAAACTATTTCCTTGAGTTTCTAGACATTTACAGGCTTGAGGATAATATCATTAAAATTTTTTCGTAATTCATTTTTAACGTCAATAGAATCACCTGATAAAAGCACTATAAATGGCTTATTTCTTTTGAGTTTGAGATCTTTCTCACATATCTCCTATATCTATCTCGCCATCTCTAATCCGTTCATTACTGGCATCTGATTATCTGTAATGATGAGCTGATATCCTTGGTGATTGTTGGATCTGCACTTATTGGTTGAATTAGCCTATATTTTAGTGATCGCTTCAAGCCCATTGTACGATTTATCTATATCCTCAATTTCTAGTTAATTAAGCAGCCCCTCTAGCGCAATCAAATTGAATGGTTCATCGTCTACAATCAGTATTTTAGAGCATTTGCATTTCAAGTACTCAGTTTTAGCAGGATCTTTTTACTTTTTAGTTCTTTGCTTTTTAACTATGGGCTGCTGTTATTGCTATTGCGATTCAAAATCAATATTCATTTCTGTATTTTCATCTTATTTATTGTTTGCTGAATTTTAAAGTAGTAGCTTTCTATTAGTACTCTTCAAGTTGTCTTGTTCTGTAAATGAAAAATCGTACTGGGTATTTTCACTTTCCTTATTCAAGCTCCAATTTATTCTACTTTTTCTCTTAATTTTGTTGAACTGATACTAGCTAAAGTTATGATTCAGTTCATGATCATGGGAATCTTATCCATTATACGCTTCTCGCTATTCATCACTAAAATTAGATTTGTCTTGTGAAATTGACTCTTTATTATGCGATACTTCCTTAAGAGACAAGTTCAGCTAGTTTTGATTTGACCTGTATCCCTCAAATTTTAAAGACTTAGATCTGATAAACTCTTGAACTCTATGCTGGTTAATATGCATTTCAAATTCCTCAATACTTTGAGTACATGGCAGAGCCAAGGTAAAATTAGATCCAACGCCAACTTGTGATTCGAATGAAATTTCTCCGCCAAGTGCGTTCGCCAAATTCCTACTAACTTAGAGACCTAGTCCTACTCCTTCTTGGTTTAAATCTCTGTCTTTCATTATCTTTGTGAAGGCTGAAAATAGTTTGCCATATTAGTCATGACTAATACCTACTCCTGTATCTTTTACTTAAAACTTTATGTGTTTTAATTAGCTTTCGTAGTCTATGAATATTTTCACTGAACCTTTAATTGTGTACTTGATTCCATTTGAGATGAGATTAATAAGAATCTATTTTAGCCTATTGTGATCAGACACAAATGTACAAGGCACGAACTCTGAAATTACATGCTCAAGCAAAATGTTCTTATACTAAGCCTTGAAACCTAAAATTCCAGAAACTTCATTCATAGTATCTTGGATATTTGTTTGCTTTAGATTGAGTAGGAGATTCTTAGATTCAAGCTGAGAAAAATCCAAGATATCATTCACGAGGTAAAGCATGAGATTTGAAGAGTTCTTAGCGGTTCTTAAATAAGTCTAGGCTCGATCTTAGCTAACATAATTTGTCAGTAAATCTAGTGATGCGGTGATCGCATTTAAAGGATTTCTGAATTCATGAGCTGCTGAGGCAAATGCTAGTGTTTTCATCTGAGACATGTTCTTCTCTTTTTAGTAGTCAAGCCAAAACGACATATCTCTAATAGTTGTCATAATAATTTTTCTATCTCCAGTACTGATGCTAGTTGAATACACTTGCAACTTTTTCTTAGTCTATGCTTCATCACTGTCCCCATAGATCTTATATTTAAAGAAAACTCCTCCATCTGCAAGAGGGTTTCCTTCCTCAAGTCTGCTTCTTCTTATAAAACTGTCATTAATCTTTTAGGATTCTCTTCTGTTTTAGTTTTGATTCATGATAAATTCCCACAAATTCATCATGTAATAAGAACTATCTTCCTCTGTAGGTGCTATCTGCTAGTTTTGCCGTTTTTCTTACTTATATATAGCTAGTTTCAGTGACGATTTAATCAGCTCCTTATGCTTAATAATTGGTTGTAATTCATTCCTAACAATATTTTCTGGGTTGGCAGGGATTTAATCATCTATTAGCTTCTAGTCGAAAATTTTGTCAATCTATTGGTTGTGAAATAAGATGTCCTGGTTTTAACTTATTATAATTCCATCATGATGGGTTCTGATTAGATTATGAAACATCTTGAGCAGCTACTTTTAATTCTATCTTCGCTTAAATCTCTCTCTTTCCTTTGATACAAACTGCCTTGAAAATATGTAAATAAAGACGAAGCACGTTATATAGAACAAATTAAAGCGGAAGTATCTAAAATTTTCAGGAATCCAAAACCAAGTTCTGATAAGTAAAAATAAGATGCATATTAAATATGTCCAGAATAGACTTTTCTAGCAATAGCTGAAAAATGACAATGTCGCAATTAAGCCTGTTATTACTTGGAACAAATCTACTTAAGCAAAGCTTGGATTTCCAACGATACCGAGTTAGAAAATCGAAACAAAGACCATTATAGATTATACAGGTGCTAGATTTAGTGAAATGAAATAGTACTTTTTTCCAAGAAAGTACTGTATGACAGCTACTACATATAAGGCAACTGATATCATCCATGCCCATCTGTAGTTATAATAAATCTAATTCTAGTCATAATATCAAATAGTTTGAAATATCATGTAGATAACCATTACAACAAACAATTCCAAGAGGTAAATGAAACTGAAATTATTGATTTGTTGATGTTGTTACTTTTGGTAATCTTGTTCCAGAATAGGATCCTTAAATTTCAATGAAAATTTCTCCTGTTCATAAGGCTAACTCAATTTGTTCAATAATTCTCTCAATCCATTTTTTATTGCTTTACTTTCTTCAAAGTCTAGGGAATCAATGCTGACAAATGAATTTTCAGGTGGAGAATTCTATTTCCTAGGAGGAATGCATATACATTTATTCATTTTAAACTTTGGTAATTTATAAATCCTCAATCTTTTTTTTCTCCAATAATTAATATAATTACCTCCAATCTATACATTCTATATACATCATGGGGTTTTGGGGTTTTGGGGTTTTGGGG